TTTTTACTATTACTCCTACCAAAATGTATGACTTCACATTTATTTACATTGTATTCCATCTGCCAGACCTTTGCCCACTCACTCAATGTATCTATGTTTCTCTGCACACTTTGCTCTGCCACTCGTCTTAGTGTCATCTGCAAACTTTGACACCCTACACGTGGTCCCCAACTCCAAATCATCTATATAAATTGTAAATAATTGCAGTCCCAACACCGATCCCTGAGGCACACCACTAGTCACTGACTGCCAGCTAGAATAGGCTTCCTGTATCCCACATTGGGCTTGACTTACTTATGGCATCATTTCCCATTCATGACAATCTGATTGCCTCTTCCTTGATTCAATATATAACTGACCTTAAACCTTATCAGCTTCATGTAACTTCTCCAGAGTTTTAATCAAACATTTCAGATTTGGAACTTTTACACTCAACTCCTTACACTGAGGTGATCAATTTTTAACAATTCTATTTTCTCCCTTAGGAGCAACTGCTTTACATAGCCAGCTTCAGTTAAGAATCCTGAAGAACAGCTCAAACTGAAATTTAAAGGAAGGTGTTTTCCCCCATTCAACTGATGCTATCAGTTCTGAAGAAGGTCACTGGACTCAAGATGTTAATTCTGATTTCTCTCCGCAGATGCTGACAGACCTGCTGTGTTTCTCCAGCAGTTTCTATTTTTGTTTCAGAATTCTAGTATCTCCAGTGCTTTGATTTGTTTTAGTATTTCTCTCAATTATGTTTTGAAATAAATCACTATGACTACAGAAGCACTTGAGAGTTAATCATTAACCCCTTTATTTACACAGAAGATCCATGTGTCACTATTTGAAAATCAAAAATCCAACTAAAATTTAAACTATTTTATAGCATATATAAATCACATCTTAAATTATGCTATGTATAGGGGCACAGTAAATATGCAATTAATGGCCATCTCTGCCTTTAATTGAATGAGTAATTAACTAATTCTGATGTCAATGAAACATTTTGACAAAATATGCCTTTTCTTTCTGAAATATCCAAGTTCTGTACTGCAAACTGTCTACTTGAATAGACAATATTAACCATCTGAATTCCAGTTAACTCAACCCAAGCATGTGCAATGGAATCCATTATTTTTCATTTGCTTATCTGAGGACATGAGGTTTGACATAATTGTTAATTCTTAGCACCGTTGTTTACAAAATACCACAAGTTGGAGCAATGGAAAGATAAACTGTTTTGTGTCAAACATTTGTAAATTCATATAAATGGTAGTTTTATTCCTGAATTTTAATGAGTTACTGAATAAGCTTACATGTAGTTAATTTCTCCTATAATTTAGATATACGTAATCGTCAATTGCTAAATTCACTCACCAAATGGGCTATGTATGATGTAGTGGCATAGTGGTAATATTACTAGGCTAGTAATCCAGCAGCCCAGGCTAATGCTCATTAGAAATGAGTGGAAGTCCCACCATATCAATTTAAATCTAATTAATTAATCTGGAATAAAAAGTATTCTAATAGTGCCCATGAAACCATTGCCAATTTTCAGAAGGAAAGAAAATCCAATGTTCATGAGACTCTAGTCCTACAGTAATGTGGTTGACTTTTAAATGCCTTTTGAAGTGTTCTAGCAAGCTATTCAATTATGTGAAACTGTCACATATTTTCATAAAAGGATTAAAACTTGACAGACCACCTGACATCAATCTGGACACAAGAACCAAAAATGGTAAACCCAATGCTGTTAAGTGTGAAAATTCCTCTTTTTAGTAAGAACTGCTTTTTGCCACAATAGGGAGAACTGTCCCATGGATGTGCATGGAATCAAGTTTTACAGACGTTGTCACAGATATCAGCATCTTTAGGTATACCCTGTCTCACTGGAAAGACAGGCTCACCAGAGGTTCTGACAAAGTGATATGCAGTGGGAGGGAGTTTTCCTGGGAAGCTTCAACATTGCCTCTGGACCTCAAGAGGTTTTATTGAATCAGGCTACACATGGGTTAGGAAACCTCCTCCTACTTACTACCTATTATCTGTCCTCAGCTGATGAATCATTCCTCCTCTGTATTGAAAACCAGTTGTAAGAAGCGCCAAGGATGATGGAGACTCGGTTTGTACTCTATGTTGGAGAATTCAATGTCCAACATCATGAATGGCACTGAGGCATGTTTTTGTCAGCATGGCAATGGCAGTGTTGATGGATGAAGGCTGTTGCTGAACCTATAGCATTGGGAGGAAGGGTTAATAGGCTACATTCCGCCCACGGGTGAGCCCCAATTTTTCCGGAGTGTAGTCTCCTGCATGTATAGGGAGATGTCTGGAAGTGATAGGTTGTGGAACGTATGTTGACAGTTATAGTAGGGAGTTGGATATGATAGGGTGGGAATCAGTAATTCAGGGGGATACACAATTCATAGCTGCCCCTTTGGCACAGGCCATTCTGTACAAGGGCTACAACTTTAGACATCCTGGCTGACAGCTCAAATGAGAGAGGTAGGGCACAGTTGGGTCAGCATTACTGGCAGCTTGATCCCATTTGTCAGCGTTTGGCCCATATCCCTTTTAACCCCTTTCTATTCTTGTGCCTATCCAGATGCCTTTGAAATGATTATAATTGTACCCACCTCCTCTGGCAGCTTCTTCCATCCATGCACCACCTTCTGCATGAAAAGTTGCCCCTCTGGTCCCTTTTAAATCTTTCTCGCTCTCACCTTAAACCTAAGCCCTCTAACATGGCACCTCATTAGTCCGTCAGAAAATCTAAACTGAGACTTTGCTGCCCTCAAAAAAAAAAAAAAAAGTTCTCCCAATTTAAATGTAGCCTTTACAAAATCAAAAGACAATTGTGCTGTTATTTTTGACTTTGAATAAATCTGTTCAACCTTCCCCCAACAAATGTCCCCCACTCATTACATTCCTCATCACTTTGCTTTCCCTATTCCCCTGCAATGCTGCATCCTCCCCAATGTATGTGACGATCCTATCCATGTGACAGCTGATGTCCCTATTTGATCCCAGAGTTTATCAACAATTCAGGTTGTAATGTTGCTCCTGAACCTATACCTTTCCAAGTTAGTTTTCCTTCCTGTAGCCTACTAACCCTTGCTCCCAGTGCTATAGGTTCAGCAACAGCCTTCATCCATAAACACTGCCGTTGCCATGCTGACAAAAACATGCCTCAGTACCATTCATGATGTTGAACATTGAATTCTCCAACATAGAGTACAAACCGAGTCTCTGTCATTCTTGGCACTTCTTACAACATGTTAGTCATTAAGATCAATGTAATAAAATCATGGAGCAAAAGTAAATCGTGGCTTGATTGCCACCTTTTTAATGTCTCAGGTATGTATGGTGCAGTGGAGGAAGGGGGATACACGTAATTCATAGCTGCCCCTTTGGCACAGGCCATTCTGTACAAGGGCTACAACTTTAGACATTCTGGCTGACAGCTCAAATGAGAGAGGTAGGGCACGGTTGGGTCAGCATTACTGGCAGCTTGATCACGGTAAAGCCACACTAGAATGGTTTGGCTGCAATGTTCTTGAAGGTGGATTGAATGGCGGAGCAGACTTAATGGGCCAAATGGCCTAATTTCAGCTACTATGTCTTCTGGCCTTATGATAAGGACATGGTGAGTGCTGAATTAAGAGACCTTGGAGTGCAGGTTCATAGTTCTTTGAAAGTGGAGTCATAGGTAGACAGGGTAGTTTTTTAAAAAAAGGCATTTGGTACGCTTTCCTTCTTTGGTCAGTGCATTGAGTACAAGAGTTAGGAGGTCACGTTGTGGCTGTACAGGACATTAGTTAGGCCACTTTTGTAATACTGCATGCAATTCCAGTCTCCCTGCTAGAAATGATTATGTGAAACTTGAAAGGGTTCAGAAAAGATTTACAAGGATGTTGCCAGGGTTGGAGGGTTTGAGCTATGGGGAAATGATGAATAGGCTGAGGCTATGTCCCCTGGAGTGTTGGAAGCTGAGGGATGACCATATAGAAGTTTATGAAGCCATGATGTGTGTGGATAGGGTAAATAAACAAAGTCTTTTCCAAGACTAGAGGTCATAGGTTTAAAGGTGGGAGGGGAAAGATTTAAAAAGGACTTGAGCGGCAACTTTTTCACGCAAAGGGTGGTGTGTGTGTGGAATGAGCTGCCAGAGGAAGTGGTGGAGGCTCGTACAATTACAACGTTTAAAAGACATCTGGATGGGTATATGAATAGGAAGGTTTTAGAGGGATATGTGCCAAATGCTGGCAAATGAGACTAGATTAATTTACGATATCTGATTGACATGGAAGAGTTGGACCAAATGGTCTGTTTCCATGCTGTACATCTATGATTCTGTTAGCTGACTATTGTGGATGTGAAGGCTCCATTATGTGCTTTAAGTAACTGTGCAATATATGCTGTCTCCTTGGTTTTGATTTGAGTGACTTGACCAAGAATTTTGTTAATCAGAAAATAATTTCCAAGTTAGTTTTCCTTCCTGGTTTCCTTTTTATTTCAAATGGGGTCTTAAATGCACTAGATTTCACAATTATAATTTTAATTGGTCAAACAACTACTACAGACACCGTAACCATGGACATAGCTCTCTTAGTCACAAGTAACACTTCCCCACGTGCTTGTGGAAGGAAAACACTTTGACACCGAACTGACGTGTAATTTCAAGTGCTACAGGGCTCAAATCAAGGCTTTAAAGGAACAAAACATGGGACTTGTATTATACCAGATCCAGAACTTTCCAATACATTTGACATGATTGTTAAAGCTATCTCAATTTGCACATTATTAAATTTTGTTGTCCACTAAATGCCGAGCAATGCACTATAGCTTATTAGGGTAATGCTTGTAGTTATCAAGTTATCGGGGAAATAGCTCAATATTTAGAATTTTGTAGTAGTCTACCATATAATAAGATTTTCCTGAAATAGTTGAAGTAAAGGTTGGAGGTCTGGATATTTCTTTATCTAATCGAATGTGCTTTTCTTCCCTCTGTCTAGAACTAATTTGTGGTAATCCAGGGGAGATTCTGAATGGATATTATGAAGCGTCTGATGTAACTTTTGGAAGCCAAGCTATGTTTTATTGTGACCCTGGGTGAGTATTTGGTGCACAAATAGGCAAAAGGGCTATGTTTCTTCAATGTAACTAATCAGGTATATTTATAAATAAGACCCATTGATTACTTGTTTTTCATGTTTCTGATGATGTTTAACCAGGTAGCCTGAATAAAGCTACCAACTTATTGTCAAAGGAAAGACAATTTTGTTGATTCTATTTCAGCATCCTCCAAAATAACTTAGTTGCTGAGTTGGTGCTAAATTGCTAGTGGAATAGTGGGACTGATTTGAAAGCAAATGCAGTTCTATTAGTAGAGCCAGAAAGTAAATTAAAGAAGAGAATTTTGTCTTAAGTTAAAGTAAATAAGGAGACTGCCATGGTATTAAATGAAATAAATATCAATAAGGATTAGGGTACTAGGAAGGTTTGCAGTACTTCGTCTGTATGAAATACCTCCTTGGCAGCTGAAAGAAGTAAGGTTGGAAATTAGAGATATCCTGGCCATAATCTTTTGTCATCCTTAGAATCAGGCATCTGACAAAGGAGTTGAGAAGTGTAAACGTTTAATAATAATGATGGATAAGCTTTGAGTATGTTGGAAAGATTTTAATGGAGCAAATTGAAGTCAGAGTTGTACATTCTGGAAACAAGTCCTTCGATCCACTGCGTCCGCGTCAACCAGATATCCTAAACTGATCTACTCCCATTTGCCAGCATTTGGCCCATATCCCTCTTAAACCCTTTCTATTCATGTGCCTATCCAGATGCCTTTGAAATGATTATAATTGTACCCGCCTCCACTACATCCTCTGGCAGCTTGTTCCATCCATGCACCACCTTCTGCATGAAAAGTTGCCCCTCTGGTCCCTTTTTAAATCTTTCTCGCTCTCGCCTTAAACCTAAGCCTTCTAGTTTTAGACACGCTTCCGTAGGAAAAAGACCTTGGCTACTCATCCATGCCCCTCGTGATTTTATAAACCTCCTATAAGATCATTCAGCCACCAACGCTCGAGGTTTAAAACCCCAAGTTTATTCAGCCTCTCCCTATAACTCAAATCCTCCAATCCTAGCCACATCTTCATACATCTTTTTTTTTGTTGGAAACCTTTCAAGTTTAACAACTTAATTCCTATAGCAGGGAGACCAGAATTGAATGCAGTATTCTAAAAGTAGCCTCACCAGTATTCTGTACAGCCACAATGTGATTCTTGTTATACCCCGCCCTTTCCCAATCTATAGCCATTCAGATAATGATCTGCCAACGTGAATACCCTCATATTTATCTACATTATACTTCATCTGTCGTGCATTTGCCCACTCAGTCAACTTGTCCAAATCACACTGAAGCATCTCTGCATCCTCCTCACAGTTTACCCTCCCATCTACCCAGTGTTGTGTCAACAGTAGCTATACTTGAATTAATAATACATAAGGTGAATAATTGGGGCCCAAGTACTATTGCCTGTGGTGCCCCACTGGTCATTACATGCCATTCTGAAAAAGACTCTTATTCCCACTCTTTGTTTTCTGTTCATGTCCATGCACTACCCTCAATCCCATATGCCTTAATTTTACATACTAATCTTTTATGTGGGACGTTACTGACAGTCTTCTGAAAGTCTAAGTAAACTACATCCACTGATCACCACCCACTTCTCCCCACATCAACTTTGCTGGTTACATCCTCAAAGAATTCCAGTAAACTTGTCAAGCATGATTTCCATTTCATAAATCCCACTGACTCTATCCAATTCTGTCACTGTTTTTCATGTTCTCTGCTATGAAATATTTTAGAATTGGCTCTAGCATTTTCCCTTCTACTCATTTCAGATTAAACGGTCCATAATTCCCTATTTTCTTTCTAGCACCTTATGTAAATAGTGGGGTTACATTAGCTGCTCTCCAATCTGTAGGAACTGTTCCAGAATCTATAGAATCTTTAAGTGTGACCACCTATGCATCAACTATTTCTAGGGCCACTTTCCTAAGTACTCTGCGATACAGATTATTGCACCCTGGGGATTTATTAGCCTGTAATTCCATCAATTTTCCAACACTATTTCCCTACAAATATTGATTTCCTTAAAAATAAAAAGCAAAGAACTGTGGATACTGGAAATCTGAAATATAAACAGAAATAGTTGGAGAAACTCAGCAGGTTTGGCTGCATCTGAAATCCAAACTGTTCCTAATCCTCAAGTTTGCTGCTTTTTATGGCCAACTTGCATGTGTTTTCATTGGAACTTGGAGCATCCAAGGTGAATCTGGGGTACCAAGAGAATTGTGTAGAGCCCTGCGTCAGATATCTTGCATCAGAAAACTGTCCTCAATTAAGTTGAGGGCAGTAAGGGCTCTTTGTGGCAGGAATGTCAATTAGCCTCATTATTGAGCCACTTGATGTTAATTATCCTATGCCCACTGGAATTTTGTGGTGGCTTAGATTTAATGGAACTTATACTGCTCTCCCCAGCAAGGGAGTGAGATGAAATAGATTGTTTTTCAGCTGTGACATACTCAATGGGCCGCCTTCTAGGCTGTATTTCATGATTTCTTGATTTTTGAACTATTTGTGCTGTGATCAATTAATTACTGATAATATGGCTGAGAAAATGTAAGCTATTCTTTAGCTCCCTAATATGTCACCTATATCATTGAAATTTTCTATGAAATAGAATTGAAGTGGGAGAGTGCAGATGAAAACCAATACCAAAGGTTGAAGATCCTTATGTTCTAGAGATTCTACCAATACTAGAATGATTGATTGTGAAATGTAACATGCTGAAAAACAGTAATGGGAATTTCAAGGCTTGATTAACCAGTGAACGTTTCCTTCTAACACAAGCAGCATGCAAACTTCATACTCTTGTATTATTGCATCATTTAAATTGTACCAATGTGCATTGCAGTGTATATTTCTTTGAACAGTATAATCATTCTTCAAATGGAATGTTGTATTTTGTTTTATTGCTCAAATCCCTGAAAGGCATTATACCATTAAGACAGCTAGATCTCTCTGTTCAATCAGTAGTCTGTTAAAGAAGCAAGCAGACAACCAGACTACTGTTCAGTCTGTTAGTCAGCCAGTCAACTATGTATTTATTATAATCATAATTTAAGTAAGCCTATAACCCAGGCTGTAGATCTAAGTTTGACATGTCATTTTACGTGCACATAGTTGTTAATAAACTTCACGATATCTGACTCAATAAGAATTTGATTTTATTTTGAGGTATATGTCATGTGGGCTAATATATAGAAAACCACAAGCATGCCACATGGTGTCTATTCATTACCATGATTCTATGTACAGCCAACATGATGACTGCTGAGTCAATAGGTGTGAAGCTTGAAAAGCACAGCAGGTCAGACAGCAACCAAGGAGCAGGAAAGTCAATGTTTTAGGCTGAAATCCTTCGTCGGGACTGGGGGGAGGGGAGCCCAGAAATAAATGGGGGGTGGGTGGGGGCTGTAGGGCTGGGGTAAGGGTAGTTGGGATGATAGGTGAATGCAAGTAGGGGCTTATTATGAGTGGTCAGTGGGAAGGGTGTAGTGGATAAGTGAGAAGGAAGATGGACAGGTTAGGTCATGTTAGGGAGGTGAGGAGGAAGGGGAGAACTGGACATGAGATAAGGCTGGGGGGATGGAGGGATTTTGAAGCTGGTGAAGTCAATATTGAGGCCATTGGGCTGCAAGTACCCAAGGTGAAATATCAGGTGTTGTTCCTCCAGTTTACGTTTGCCCTCACTCTGACAGTAGAGCAGTCCAAGGATGGACGTGACGCCAGGGAATAACTACTGAGTATGGGACATACAATTGTGAGAACTAACACTACTTAAGGTGAATTGGCATCTATTAAGAGGGAGCTACATTCTGTGCTGAAAGCTACTGAAAAAAGTTTTCATGCAGGAAGAATGCTGAAAGATGGCACAGCAAGGTACAGATAATGCTTCAAGGTTATCTGATGGAGCACTGGAGGCCATGGTATAGGATATCCTTGGTAAAAGAGAGGTGCTGTATCCCCAGTGGATCAGGAACAGAGTCAGGCCCTGAAAATACAATGGAATCTGATAGAAATCATTGTTAATGTGAGCAGTATTGCCTCAAGAATTTGGATGTGATGCCACCCTTAGTGGTGCAATACAGTCAAAAACCAGGCCTTTTAGGACCAAAAGTGTCTGGGTCCAGACTGCAATATGATGTGCAGTTTCTCTCACTGTAGTAGTTATCCACAAAGGCAGATGAAAAGTGGGCACTGAGATAATGCACAAGGCAGATTAATTGATTTTAAAATAGAATATTGAATGGTTTGTTAAACTTTATTAGAATGATTGTTTTGTGGTGGATTTGATTTTGACACTATCTTCTGCAACCTTCATTTTTAAGATAATGGTTTCTCCCTTGGGAGCTCTCTGTTATACATTGCTTGGTGTGATTCAGGAGGGTCACTTTGAAATTGCAGTCCGTGTCACACTTAGTACAGATTAAAATATTGATTGATTGGCTTGAGTAGGTGCAGAATTTGCTAGCCTCTATTTTTTTCTGGACTGTCTTCTCAGGCAGTTGATCTTTCGATTTTTGTCTCTCCTCTATCAATGCCCCTCTAAACAGACAGCCTCAAGATGTCCTAGGCTCCAGCAGCTGTCCCCTCATTATCCTCCATCTTCATATCTCATTTGTGATGTTTTTGTAGCAGACGTCTGAATGTCCACTAGTTCTCCATACAGAAGGTCTTTGGGTATACAGCAATTATCTATCTGAAGGTGACCGAGCCATTAGTTGATGTTGTTGGCTTATTAGTGAGTGCTACAGGACCTCTGAGTTAGTGACCTTGTCTAGCCAAGAGATGTCAAAGACATGTCTGAGATAGTGAAGGTGTAAGCTCTTCAGCTTCTTGTGCATGAGTTAGTCAAGTCTAACGACTGTAGTGAAGATTACTGAGGACATAGGTAGGTTCATAAGTTTGGTGCACCCTATCAGTTTGCTGTTGTTCCACACTCTTCAGTTTAGACAGAATATCTACAGCCTTTGTAATGTTCATGTTGATTTCAGCACCAAGTGATGAATCCCTAATGATTGTAGAACCTACATACATGAGGCTATTAACAACTTGTAGCATCATATTATCACTTCTGAATTGCTGAATGACAGTTTAGCAAAATGTTGGACCATTAAATTTTTCCTCCTGGTGCTGATGGTCAGAGCAAATTTTTTAACCATCATAGAATCCCTACAGTGTGGAAACAGGCCCTTTGGCCCAACAAGTCCACACTGATCCACAGAGCATCCCACCCAGACACATTCCCCTATAAACCCACCTAATCTACACATTCCTGAACACTGGGCAACTTAGCATGGCCATTTCACCTAGCCTGCACATCTTTGAACTGTGGGTGGAAACCAGAACACCTGGAGGAAACCCACGCAGACACGGGGAGAATGTGCATCCTCAACACAGACAGTTACCCAATGGTGGGATTGAACCCGGGTTCCTGGCGCTGTGAGGCAGCAGTGCTATCCACTGAGCCACCGTGCCATCTCTTTAAAGTTCAGTGTGAAACAATGTGAAAGAATCTGTCTCATTATTACTGAAGGCAGTTGGTCAAGCCTCAGTCTTTGGCAGTAACCAATTCATAAAACCAAGAGGCTTTCGAATGAACAAACAATGATATTTGTGTTAACTTTGCCTCAATATTTTAATGTTTAATTGTTTGTTTAATTGAATGGCACTATTTTTATGGCAACTTGTGCACGCTTTACTGTATTTTCACAAACATGTTTTCTTTTAAAAAAAAAATCTATTTCTATCTAAAGGTGTTCCTTCAGTACAGAATGCTAGTGTGGCATTATCAATATAGACCAACTACTCATTGAGAAGTTGATGTTCTAGACGCACAGAGAGCCTAATTGAAAATTACACAACTGCAGTGCTGGTAATCTGAAACCAAAACAGAAAATGCTTGGTCAAGCAGCATTTGGTACTTGACCTTTCATCAGAACAGAGGGAATTACTTATAGGTATACTTTGCTGACATATAAGGAAACACTTTTATCTTTTAAACTTGTGAACAGAAATTCATTTTTCCCATTCCATGTAAAAGTTGTACATTTTTGATTTACTTTTAGATGGTTCAAGTTCATCAATTGTCATTATTACTTCAGCTTGTAGCTCATGACATCACTGTACTACTGATTATGCAGCAGATAGGATCTATGCCTCTCGAACACCAAGAATTTGCTGCCTGCTTTTCAAGTGTGGGGAGGCACAGGAGGTGACTTCTGTGGTCATGATTTGTTTCCAGGGTTCTCGGTCAGCTTGCATTACTTGGATATTTGATGTGGGGCAATTAGGCATTTCCCATAATATTTCTTTGTTCTGAACAGACCTATAAGAAAAATAGATGAAGTAAAAATTGGAGACCAACAGTAAGGGCAGAGGAATGAGACTCATTCTTGTAGAGAGTTCACATAGGAGGCTAATTCAGCCATCATGTCTATGTTTTTAGGACTGCAATATATTGGCTTCACACATCAGGTTCTAGTATATTTCTTATTCATTTGTGTGCATTGCCACCACAGAACTTACTCTACTCTAATAGTCCACCTGGACCAAACTGTAACCTGACACAATGAGCTGGCAAAACCTTCTAAGAGCATGCATTTTCTGTAGTTGGATGGCTTCCAGAAGCAGAAATCCTGCAGATGCATGGTGAAGTTTGCTGGAGTGATTCTCATTGCAAGGCCAAACAAGTTTTCTTGCCATGAGGTTGAGTGAGTTTTCTATCATATCTTGTCAAACTCACCACATCAGTTGGTGTTTTAGCCATTTATGGTAAGTATCATTTCTCCCCATCTTCCTACATGCCATTCACCACTCACTGAAGATCCCAGAATTGACCGGCACCCTTTGCACCAATGCTATATTTAAAAGTCCCTCGTACAGCCAGACAAACGCTGTCAGTCCAGGGCTGTACTGTATAGTTCCTGATATTTGCCCTGGATATGGCAGACTGGGAGAAATCAATACCCTGCTTCGCAGTCGGTATCCTGGAGCTTCTGCTAGACTGGATGGTGTACAGGTGGTGGTACCTGCTCCTCCACCCACCCTAGGACCAGCAGTGGAAGTCACGACACCAGACCTTGGCAGCCTGGTCCTGAAATCATTGTGTTTCTTAAATCAAGGAATGAAGTGACCTATCAGACAATGTATGATTCCTTAACTTTGGGTTCCTTACAGAAATGATGTCATAACTGAATGAGCTGAACTGTGAACTGCATGGAAAGAACAGTCTTAGCACATATGCTCAGTGCTTTCAAATGACTACTTTCACATTGAAACTGAGTCTTTGGTCCTCCCAATTAAAAAATAAAGTTCTTCAACACTTCTCAGATCTGTACAAAATATTATTTAAAAATATCAAAGACAAAGAAAAATAGTTCAATCTAGAAAACATCAGTGCAAGCCTGGGGAAGTTGGCGGAGGAATTCAATTGGCAATTTTGGGAATTCGATGTAATAGAATAAGTTATCATGTTTGTCTCAACTCCATTCCTTCAAATAGTCATTGGTCCATCAACTGTTTGATTTACAAAGCAGTAGAGTTGATGTAAGATGATTATTGTGGAAAATGAGCTGAAAGTCGGATCAAGGAACAATTATTTTTGGGGACCTTCTTTCATGCTTTGCTTTTGAAGTGAAAGCTTTCTTTATCTCTGAGGTATGTGGAGTCAGTGTTGTGGTCAAGCAACCGTGGGCCCAAAATAGGACACTCTAAATTGACTCTCACTCAGAGAAATCAGGCCTGACAGAAAATTGGCTAAGCTAAATTCAATAGCAGCTAGCAGCTATCTGCTACAGTGTACAGTGGAAATCAAGGCCAAAGAGGTCTCAGAAAGGTTCAGGGAAACCAGTTGCAACCATCCCCAAGATTGTGTATTGGAAGAATATTGAACAGACTTCCCGGCACCTTGACTTCAAGGCAGTGCCTGAGGATGTGCACTTTGCACGTCCTACGTGGCAACAGTGAAGGGTGTTGGTGTCACCTTTATTGGATGCTTTGAACCTCGTTCATGACCCCATTG